CAGCTGAAGTTGAAAACATGAATATTACACATTCAGATAAAGTATTATACATTTGTTTTTGTTTTTTTCTGTTGTACAGGGACTTCTGTTAGCAATAACAGAGCTTCAGATCGATTTAAAGGCAGAAAACATCATTTATGTCCTTGAATTTAGAGTTAAAATATCATTATTGTAGACATGGCCAGGTTCTGGTCTCCTGATGGGTCCCAGAGTCAGAACTAAACCAGCTGAAGCTTCATTTCATATCCAGGTTCCTAAAATCTGGATCAGACTTCTTGAAGATGTGAGACAGGTTTCAACTCTGAATGTTTAAATCCAGATGAAAACGCTTCTGTTTAACCATAATATGGAAATTGAACGTATTTTATCTGCACCCTTCACTTTTCATCTGTTTAATTTTGATTATTTTTCTTTTCTTGTTTTTCTGCTTTTAAATTCTCTGTGAAGCACTTTGAATTGTCTTGTACACGAAATGTGCTGTAAAATAAACCTGCCTTGCCTTCATTAATGTCTGTTGTGGGATTTCCAGTGTATCACTAATCTCCTGCACAGCTGAAGTGGATAGTGATGGTAAACAGGAATATTAAACATTCAGATAAAGTAGTACAAATTGTTTTTTGTTTTTTTTTCTGTTGTAGAGGGACAATCACAGAGCTTCTGATCGATTTAAAGGCAGGAAACATCATTAATGTCCTGGAATTTAGAGCTTTTATCACTGAATGATGCAAAAAGTCTCAGATACAAAAGACTTCACAAACCGGATCAGATATGACACATTTGGCATTATGGGGTTAGAATGCTGCAAAACCCTAAAACTGAACAGGCACATTAAGGAAAAACAGGCTAATAAGATCAGGGTTAAACACCTCCAGTGACCTTGATATAAAGATGGACGACAGACTTCCAACTAAAGCCAAGACATTTGGCATTATAGGGTTAAGAGCTAAATCTCTGCTTGTTGTTTTCTGCTAACTCTATCTGACTAAACACAACCTCATCCTGTAGCACATCAGTCCACATGCACGGAGTTCCTGACATGGTGGCACAATCTCTCCCCTCTAAGAGACGGTTATTGCTGACTGGGCTCCCTGTACCTGGCGTGTCCCCCTGCAGCCGGAGGGCCTGGGCCCGGTTGTTGTAGGCCGAGGCTTTCTGAGGCAGGAGCTGGATCGCCTCGCTGAAAAGCTGAAGAGCGGCGTTCAAATCCCCGGCCTCCGCGGCAGAAACCCCCCCCCTCTCCAGCTCCCTCACTCGCCTCAGCAACTCCCTGTCAAACCCGCTGTCTGGTGAGAGGAGATAAACAAGTTTAAAGCGAGCTCAAACTGAACAGACAGGTACTGGAGCAAAGAAAATGACAAAAAAAAACAACACACAAACGAAACTCAGCCTGGATTACAATGTCAGACTTTTCAAACCTGGGAAATGTATTAATTCTAATAAATTCAGTATGCTGAGACTTGATACAGTGGGGGAAATAAGTATTTGACCCCTTGCTGATTTTGCAGGTTTGCCCACTTACAAAGAATGCTTATTTTTCCTCATCAGATGGTTATCAATTTTTATAAATTCATATGATGTGATTTTCTGGAATTTTCTTTGGGATTCTGTCTTTCACAGAATGATTAAAGTTATAGATCGTTGCATTCTTTGTAAGTGGGCAAACCTGCAAAATCAGCAAGGGGTCAAATACTTATTTCCCAACTGTAAAAAACCAAAAAAAAAAAAAACACTGTGACTTTTTCAATGATTCACTTGCAATTCTAAGAGGCAAAAAAAACACAAAAAAAACACTGTTTTTTTCTTTTTTCTTTATTTCCTTTTCTTTTTCTTTGGGTTTTTTACCTCAAGAGACAAAAAAAACAAACCAAAAAAACACAGTGACTTTTTCTTTTTGAATGATTTACTTTAAATTCTATCTATGAAAAATATCTTCTTGTCCAGAACTGTAGCAAGCAGAATAAAGTTATAGATCGTTGCAATCTTTATAATTGGGCAAACCTGCAAAATCAGCAAGGGGTCAAATACTTATTTCCCCCACTGTATGTGGAGTCAAACGCTCACCATCATCTGTTAGTTCTTCCTCTTGGTTGAGAGCAGGAATGTCCCCAAAGGGGGCCGTAGGGTTGAAAATAGCCTGGAGAACAGCTCTGTCGTGAGCAGAAGCCATCTTTTGACTGTCCGTGGAGTTAAAGGAAGAATTAAGCAAAAAAGAGCTAAATTATGACATCTAAAATATATCTAGCTGGGGAGTTATTCCTCCTAACCCTAACCCAGCCAATCAGAACAGGGGGTGGAAATAGAGGTGGACTTTGAGATTTTCTTGCCCTCAACACATCTGTGTTTGGTTAGCTAAAAAATGCAGAACTCTTTTTACGCCGGGAGAATGAAGCATAACGGCAAACTATAGGTTTATTTAGCATTCTGATTAAACCACAAAGGAATACTGAGGTACAACTAACTGTATATTAAACATTCTGTAGATTTAGTACAAGATATCAAGCACATAAAATCAAAGAAGTGATAAAAACTTTGAAAGATTGATGCATCTTTAACCCATTTCAAGCATAATACAGACAACTGAGACAAGACAGATGTGCATTTTTTGGTGTATTGCATTAATTTTGTCACATTTATAAGGGGTTTGTGAGTCTAATATTATGCTGGATTTGTTAAACTAGCTGGATAGTGGATGTCAAAGCTAAAAATGATTGTTTTACACTAATACACAGCTGTGTTGGGATATATTACACCATGACTTGGAGGCAGTTTGTTCTTTTTTTATGCAGTTAATCTAGATAATAGTCTGACCACATTAAACACATTTCATAAGGCTATTGGTCTTTGTCTCATACTTTGTTTCCATAAATATTTCCCCACATGTTGTGGATTTATTTGAATATTTTATTAGTTACTGGATAAGATTATAACAACAGAAAACATTAGAGTCAAACTCGAGTTTAAACCATTTAAAGCCTGATCCAAGAATAAAACAAAACAGCAAATTACTTTTTTTTTGTTTGAATTCCTTATCTGACCTTCTAACGAAATATGTAAATAAAAAAAACAAACATACATTTTTAATATTAATAATTTATTACTATGCGATAAGTCAAGATTATTTTTTGTGTATTCTTCTGCCCCCTGTTATCAGGTGTATATAAATATATAAATAAATAAATATATAGATAGATATATAAATAAATAAAATAAAAAAAAACAATACAAAAATTAGGATTTTAAGCAAAGTTTTTACCATTAAATTATGCAAAAGGTGTCAGACACAAAACATTTCAGAAACCTTATGAATCAGATATGATACATTTGGCATTACAGGGTTAAATCAGTAAGAAATAGCATAAAGGTGGTACATAAAGCCAGAGTTTAAGTCCTAAACATCTCCAGAGAAGAAGACTTCACCACTCACAATGTTCAACATTCTTTTTAACGAGAATACAGTGGGGGAAATAAGCATTTGAGCCCTTGCTGATTCAGCAGGTTTGCCCACTTACAAAGAATGCTTATTTTTCCTCATCAGATGGTTATCAATTTTTATAAATTCATATGATGTGATTTTCTGGAATTTTCTTTGGGATTCTGTCTTTCACTGTTAGAATGCACATATGATTAAAGTTATAGATCGTTGCATTCTTTGTAAGTGGGCAAACCTGCAAAATCAGCAAGGGCTCAAATACTTATTTCCCCCACTGTACCTGATTAAAGCTTAGAGGAAAACGTGTTGGGACTAAGGATGTAAAGCAGACACAAGGTGTGGAAGCAAGCCCTGGAAGAAAAGTCTCCTCCTTTGTTTTTCTCCAGATAATCACAAACCTGTGGAGCCTTCTCAGATCTGAGGGCCTGTCAGAGGATTTCTGCTGAGAAACAGACGACATGAGGAGGAATCCTAAAGTCTGTGGTGGTCGGGAGGCTGATGTCCTTTGAAGAGTTGATCCTCAAGTCGCTCCACAGGAGGTGAAAAATTCATTTTATAGAAGGTTTTTCACAGGTCGGGCTCAGAGGTGCCATGGTTCTGCTGTGATCCTCCCTGTAATGACATCATTTTAACCCTATAATGCCATATGTGTCATATTTTATTATTTAGACCTATATATACAGTGGGGGAAATAAGTATTTGACCCCTTGCTGATTTTGCAGGTTTGCCCACTTACAAAGAATGCTTATTTTTCCTCATCAGATGGTTATCAATTTTTATAAATTCAAGTAAGAGTAGAAGAAGAGATTCAAGTATATCAAGTAAGAAATATGAATCAAAGTCTTTACAAGATTAATTTGACACAATTGTGTGTGTATAAAACTGTAATACGATATGAGATATGATATAAGATATGAAACAACCAGTAAAAACGTTTTATTGGTTCAAACTAGGTAACATTTTGTAGAATTTTAATGAAAAAGGTGGACGTTCATTAACTTATCAGTGGGTGTCATATGAAGAGGGTCTGAATATTTATTTTTTTATGTTGGGGAGGATTTGACCGGGGGATAAAACCTCATTAAGAAGGACCATTAGAGACTCCATTTCCTGATGGAAGTCCAGAAAAAGCATCTAAAGATGCTCGTATCCTTTTCCTGGTGCTCCATAGAGAGTACATCAACACGTAGTTTACTGGGAAAATGAGAAAAAACAGCCTGCCATAATAAAAAAAAACACTTCAATTAGCTTTTCAATTCTTACTTTAGTTTGACAGCATTTCTCAAACTGAGTTTAAGCAGTTTGCCTCATTTCCTGTTGTTAAATCCGATTCATATTAGATCAGTAGCCTGATGTGAAACATATAAGATAATCATGTTTGTTCTATAATCTCACAAGGAACACAATGCAGCATAAATTCTCAATTAAATGAGCTGATACAGAAAATTCACATAAAAAATGGCACCTAATTGTCTACAAATGGCTCAACTCTTCAAAAAATGCTCTATCAACTTTGTAAAAATGATGAATTCACCAGATAATCAATTTTACTGCCCTCAAGTAAAGAATTAAGAAAGGACTTTTCACCAACTGACATCTAATAAGCAAAAAGGGAAGAAATGGTATACAGTGACAAACAGATTTGTTACATGCAGTTGTATGAAAATAACCTTAAATGTTCATACAATATGATTTCTCATCACTGTAATAGCTCAATAAAACATAGTTTATAAGAATATGTTCTTCCTCAGTACCTACATTGATGATTTTATTTCTTTCAGGGTAAATTTTAGCAGAATAAGTGGTCGTTTGTTTTTTCTGCTTTGGGGCTCCCTTTATTTATTTATTTATTTATTTATTTATTTATTTATTTATTTATTTATTTATTTATTTATGTATTCATTCATTCATTCATTTATTTATTTATTCATTTATGTATATATTTATTTATTTTATTCCTATATATGTGTATATCCTTCTCTTATATATGTAGAGTATTTAATATTTTATGTTTTCCTGCTTTGCAAAAAAGTTAAATAAAAAGAAAAAAGTGGTCTTTGGATCATAAGTCATCTTCTGGGTCTGATGAAACTTTAAGTCACACTTGTTTCAATGACGTTAATGAAAGCTCACGTATTTGGCAGATAAGGTTGAATAAAGATAAGATAAGTCGTGACAACTGACAGTGTGGATTTGTCTTTGGCTGTAGATTTTCCTTCCCATGCATAAATAGTGAGAAGGGTCATGTCTCCAGGCTTCAATATTTCTTCTGTTCAAATAGTCTGAGGCAGGAAAATCCCTTTTGGTTTAATCTGAGGATGGGTTACAAGACAAAATCTGATTCACACCCACAATTAACTGAAACATTTCTATAGTTCAGACCATAAACTGAGTCTCACTGTCTATGGAACCACTCTGATACCTTTTCATAGCAGAGAAAAAAATACCTATTTTTATCCCTCTAATGCCAAATGTGTCATATCTGATAGATACGGTTTCTGAAGTCTTTTGGATGTGAGACTTTCTGCATCATTCAGTGGTAAAAGCTTTGCTCAAACCCCTGTTGTACACATTCAGATATACCTGATAACAGCCAGTAGAAGACTACACCAACATGTATTTTTGACTTATTGCACGCTAATTTGATCAAAATAATTTCAGTTTTTTTTCTTCATAAGTTGTTGAGGGGCCAAAGAAAGACTTCAGACTAAAAAAATCCAATATTCTTCTTATTTTTCTTGGATCGGGCTTTAAAGGGTTAATATGTATGTTTGTAAAGAACATTTTCATTAAACTAATCTGACTCATACATTTCACATAATGTCTAAACCTGATTTCCCATGTATATTTATTGTATTCCGCTTTGAATTGAATCTTTACCTTTGGGAGGCAGGTTAGCTGAAGGTGAGCAGCTAAACGGAGCTTTTTAGATGTTTCTTTCTTACAAGAATCCATCCTAAAAGCAGCTCTCGCTTCTTTCTGCTTTCCACTCTTCACTTTGTATATTTCACTCCTCTGTGACAATTGTTTATATCCAACCGGCATAT